GCCACTGGGCCTGTCTGCCGCCACTGTCGGCACTGTCGGCACTGTCGGGGCTACTGTCGGCACTACCTACTGTCGGCAGCGGCGTCACTGATCCCTCCGTGAACAGCCCGACAACAGACATCGCATTCAGCCCGTCTGTGGCGCGCACAAAAAAACCTCCGCGTCAGGTGGCATGAATATCATCTGCATATGAACGATCAAAGGATCATACAAGTGACTCGGCCGCCCGCTGAAAAGATGCAACAATTAAGAAACTTCAAACAAGTAACCCGTTCTTCTACCCCATCGCCACAGAATCAATAGCCGCTGCCGGAAGGCTCACAATACGGCCTGAAAGGTGGGAGTTGCGACCTTATCGCCAGCCGGCCTCCCGGCGCCGCCGTCGTGGGAATGGTAAAATCTATGGGAGAAACGGGGTAGGTGCCCGGTCGCGGCGCTGCGAACAAATAACGATTAATCTTCTCTATCTTTTCCGGGCGGCGCCACACAGCGAGCTGGCTGCTGAATAAAGCCAAATAGCATAGCTCTTTGCGAACTCTGAGTCGGCCACAAAACGACTGTCGCATGCAAATGGATGCCAAGCAACGCAAATTAATGCCCAATGAATTGAGAGCCGGTTGGCATAATGGGATCAGGTGCTCCCGTACAAATATCTCCAAACGACTGGGTGAATTATGCTAATGTTAATGATACACTGCATTGCCTGCTGTGCAGATAGGCCGAGTTTGAATGCGACCACAGCGGAGGAATCTCAGCTGGGCTGGCCCTGATGATGTCATTACGACGAATGAAAAATCCATCAGACCGAGGTGGTGTGGTCGGGCCCCGGACTTACCTCCGCGCGCGTCTGCCACTCACGGATCGGTGGTGTGGCCCGAGCATTCCGCCAATTTCCCACGCAGTTGAGGCGGGATTCCGAGGCGGGCGGCTGCGCTCGTCGGCCGTTTTATGACCGTAGCTGTCAGATATAAATTCGTGACAACGCTGACTTTGACCACAGTAAATCATCGGCGAATATAAAGTCTGCAGGTGACGGTGAGCCGGCGTCACGTATATCGACAGCCATATGATCTGAGGGCCGGCCAAAAATCCGCCGTGCACGGCACGCAAGCCGCGGTCACTGGCTATGTGTATTTACTGCGGCCACTGGCCCAGCGCGGCAGTCCAACCAACACCCTCCGCGTCGAATTTACCTCTGTCCCAATGTTTGGTAGCACAGGAGGCTCTAGCAGCGGCGGAAGCAGCATCGGAACTTCCATGGCGTCATGAGTCTGTCGTTCCTGTTGTCCGATGCCAGACCGGCTAGTAGAGTTGATTATAATTGGGACCGCGATGTCGGCGCAATTATGGCAGCACGGCATGTCACTCGCTATCAACAGGATAAGGGAGTGCGTCCGAACCGATGATCGGGGTCGAGGACGGGGACGCCGCTCTGATGAGAGAACAGGCCACTGTTCCATGCCGCGTGTGACACTGGTGTCATGCCCCGGCTACCCCACTGTGTCTCAGCCTGCTTTGCTAATGACGTGGCTACTGAGTCGTGTGCTAAAAAGGAGAGGGTTATTCAATGATGGCGTGCTAGAACGAACCGATGCGAGCATTTTATGGGTTGGAAATACTGGTCAAACACGCGACTTCTTTTGAAACTGGCACTGGCAGGCTTCAGTATTAATTACTGGATCATTATGAAATGCCCCTGTGTCGTTACACTTCACTCATCCTCATATAATGTTAACCGAATGATGGAAAATTGGTATGAATGAAAGGTACCCTCAACAGTATGCTCGCTATGCAGAAAGTGGAATAAGTACGGAGCAAAATAGCCATCGCTGGCCTAGCTTTCACATCGGTGTAGACACTAGAGGACTTGCGAGAGTCTGTAATAACGCACTATGGACAACGATTGCAGTAGTTACGCACATCACTTGTCGGTGGCAGCGTATGCGAGAGTTGTAATTTACTTTTTTTGCAGCGACAATTTCAAATGCCGATCGAACCGAAGTTAGCTAGTAATTATCTTGAACCGAGAAGATAATTATGGACGAAAATTAGCCACCGTACGCGAGCAGTTACCGAACGGTTATTACCTATTACCCGTGTTCAGAAGCAGGAATCACAGCGGGAGAATATGACGCGATGCAAACAACGGGCTCCTCCGCGGGGGGGGGGGGGGGGCGGCCGTAAAAGTTGGCATCAATGGGGAGGTGTTTCTTTTCAGATGCGCGATGCAGGCCTCATTGTCATCCGCAGGCGCGGGATGTGAAACTTATCCACAAATAAATTCCGGACGACGTCTTTGCGAAACGACCTGCTCTCGAGAGTCCCTAGGCGAATATTAAAACGTCTGAAGGTTTTATTTTCGGAAAAACGACGGGGTTAGTTGAAAATTCCCGGTTTATAAAGAGACGAAAGATGTGGAATTAAACGCTTGCCTCGACTGTCTGCAAAAGATGAAACTTTTCATAAGATTAGGAATCTTTGATGAAGACGGCGGGCTTGGAAGTCGAATGATGAGAGAACCAAGCGAGAGGGGACTTATTAAAAATGCATGAAAGGCTGAGTCGAATACTGAGGAACAAAACTTCAGGTCCCGCTAGCAATATCGACTCTGGAGGGTCATCAAGAAGATATTATTGCCGAACTATTTCTACCAAAGCGTCTTCATTTCGAGATCGGTCACAAATATCAGTGGTGATCGGACTACGGATATATTCAAAATAGAGTACCTTGGCTACGATAGGTCCTACATAGTCTTCTGAAGCATGATTATACAACTTGAACGGCTAAAAATGTGATGAAGGTGTTCATATACCACTGCTCAATTTATCATGCCTTTTTGTCTATGCGTCACGTCGCATATTATTATCGAATATCGTGACAAACAAAATATCTCACACCAGTGTCTAATCACCAACAACTGTCACTAACATGGAATAGTAGCCTAGATTTGGTGAGGCGCGCGAAATCTCAACTGAAATGTAGAGCGAAAAATCGTTTCAGGTCATGCATATCCAATACCCATGAATTATAGCGTATCTCGGGTGGCTCAAACCACATGCAACGACGTCCATTCAGGGAAGGAGGATGAGCTAGGTTGTATAACCGTTCTCGGGTGCAGTTAACATTTTGTTTTCTTCGTCGCTTTCTCATGAAAAGGGTGACACGTTCAGCTAAGATAACGTGATAAATGTTGAGCGCTCTGTTACGGGCGTTTACGATTACTTTCGATTCTTTTCTTGTTTCACTCTATGCTTAACATGATTTCCTTTCAAGTGGATTCAGTCAAACGTGGATCGTGGAATTAGTAACCAGTTCTTTTTATTCGAACATATAGAAACAAGGTAAACCTACTTAAAACTCGACTGGCCATTTTAATCCTATGTATTACGGGAGATTTATGCATTCCAGTTCGATGTGTATCGCTGTTTACTCCCTGATACTCTAAGAAGGACAAACAAGTTATTTACATCAAAAGCAGCCGCATATACAGCAAAAACTTATATTACATATAAGTTTTTCTTAAAAATAACCAAATGATCGATCATGACAATCCATTTAGTGTGATCCACGCTGAATTTCGCTGGCCGTGGCGCTGGTCGATTTACGCCAGCACTACAGGCCCGGTTGGGTGGCGCATCACTTTCACCTGAGGAGCGGGTCCGCGCGCGACTGACCGTTTCGCGTCACCTCACATGTCCAAAACGGAATCTTTGCCGCGGTGCAGCGACTCACTTTGATGGCCGCCAAACAATAAGCAGGAAAAATGACCAGCGGCCACCGAAAAGGACCGGAGGACAATTTTCCTGTTGCTGGAAAAACGTGGGACCGCGCAGATACAATCGGTGGTCGGTCAGGCCTGAGCCCTTGCAAACTAATCCATGGTGTGGCATGCCCCGAGCCCACCAAAAGCCGGACACAATCGCGTCATCTCGGTCGCGGTGGATTTTTTTCCGCAGTGCACCATGGTGCAGTCTCCATTATTGGCTGTTCGGGAAAAATGTCGCCAGATCAGAGGCTTGATTCATTTGGGTGTGTGCGACTTAACTGTGGCAAAGATAGAGCGACGCCATTGTCCAATCGGGCAGCGACATTTTTCGACGACCGCTGCCGCACTCGACTCCAAAGGAAATCGCAGGCCGGTTGGCAGGCTTTTCATGCCCATTCTCCACTCCAAATATGTAGCATTCCATCTGTGGTGCCTATTAACGGGCTCCAGGAAAGCTGCCCAACTAGAACAAGGATACCAGTGTCGACACTTCCTACCCGCGGCGCCTGGCCGTCCGTGCCAGTGACGGGGACCGGCTGAACGTTTCCTACTCATCAGTTGACACGGCCGCTAACGACTCGGCGGTGATGTCAGGTGGCGCGGCAGGTGCGATTCACAGAACGCGACACGAAATCGCGCTCCAAAGAGTGGAAAAAGAAGTGGGAAAATGAACACTACATTTGAGCAGCAGAAAATATGGCATTCTTCGGCGGCAACGGGATGATCAAAGAACTCCTATAAAACGGTGAAAAAATAAGCGTGCAGTGTTGGATATCATCCAAATTACAACGGAAGCCGACAGGATGTTTTGAGGGGCAAAGCCATCGAAACCGCTGTTGGTCTAGTAGATTATTGCCAACAACGATCATGACACCATCTCTAAGGAAATTAAGCACGATCGATACTGATGAGTAACAATAGGGAAAGAGCCTGAAGCGGAATTATGCTGTTAACATGCGTCACAAATAACATGAGCGCATCGGCTGGTAACTTTTGCATGCTTCATCATCTGAAGAAAGGACGGTGCGCGGGTCGAAGAGTCTCCTGCATTTATTACCCGCATTGGAAGGAAACGCCACATGTCTTTGCGTCCTCAAGCAGAACCGTTGACGAATTGTTAGGCCTGTTCCGCAGAAAGTGCTAGTCAAACAAGCAAAAGTGCAAGGGATACACACAAACTGACGCGTTTTCGCAGGGTGTGCCCAGGGTCGCTCTTGGAGTTGCCGAGACTGACCTGTGTGCAGCCGGGTGTGCTGCTGCACGTGGCTGAGCTGCTTGAAGCGCCGGTCGCAGTAGGAGCACTTGTAGGGCTTCTCTCCGGTGTGGACGCGGATGTGCTGCACCAGCTGGTGGTTGGAGGAGAACGACTTGAGACACTGCTGGCACTGGTGCGGCTTCACCTCGCTGCGGTGCATCTCCCGAGCGTGCAGCTGCATCGCAGACTTGTGCATGAAGATCTGAAACGTGAAGGTAGTTATGAGTAACGAAGCACTGGCATATACCTAAAGTGGAGGAAGCGCTAGGACGCCAATGTTGAAGAAGAGGATGCCGACATAACGGTAATATAAAGGAGAGAACCTGGGGCATTAGAAGTGGCTCTCAGCCAGAGAGCAGATGCCTTTGGCTGAAGCGTGGTGCTCTTTGATACAAATGGGGTGGTGCTCTTAGCTAAGCGACGATGATAATGACTGACTCTCGAATGTAGGATACTGCGGCTGGATCTGAACACGGAATCGCACTCTTAGCTAGTGAGCGGTGCTCGCGGCTGAGCTAAGCAAACCGGCACATCTCCCAGGTACTTGCGGTTGCCAGAACTGGTACCGGAAGGCAAATTCCCCAGCCTGTTTGTGATGGATGCGACCTTGGTCGGATTTAAAATCGGTTTGATGTTGAGTATGCCAACTGCCTGATGAACGTGAAAAACCATTCCACACTAAGGGAAAATGCCAACACTGACAACGAAAACATGACAAGTTTATGTCTATCTATCTAACAAACCAGCGCTTCTTGTTCTCTGCAATCTTGCCATCCAGTGAGATTAGCAGAGGGGGAAGTGACGCCTCGCGCCGGTCTCAGCCTGCTCGCGCTGATGCGCTGATGCGCCACCAAGCTGCCCACCTGGCACGCTGAGCTGATTAGTGGCGCTGACGGCATGTTCCCGGCATTTCAGCACGCTCGCGCTGACCGCTGACTGCCCCGGGAAGTGCGTCACCGCTCGCGGCACGGCCGCTCGGATTTGCTCGCGCGCCACTCGCCATGGCGTGTTAGATGGGCAGAGGTGGTTCATGGGCTGGTAAAGGCATGGTCATAAGGAAACCATTGCCGTGATGTGGTGTGTCAGATTCCAATGAGATCATGTGGTCAGGAAGAACTATAGATACGATGGAAGGTGGGAACCTGACTAAAACGCGGGGGTGATGGAGGAAGCTTCGTCTTTATAAATAGGCGAGCATATGTACATGTGTGACCATTTTGTCATCGTCTAGCTAGGTAATATTTTACACAAAGTTATGCAGTTTTGGTAAGCACGATGATACCTGATTGAACTAGTTCAATGATAAAAACGAAAATGTAAGCAAATGAAGAGACTGGGAGCGGGGAAGTTGGCATAAGACTCCGGAATCGCTCTGCAGACAAAATCCTTCCCGCTACCCAACTTGCCGGATTAGCGCTCTGAGCAGACATTTTGCTCAGCCCTGATGTCGGCTTAGGAATGTGTTAAGTAGTTTTAGCAGTTTTATGACCGTTGCGCCTATTTTTTAACGGTAGTTTCATGACAGGTGGCCACTGCGGCCAAAACGACAACATCTTTATCGTCTGTCATATGGTGAACCACGATGGGAACTTCCACTATTTGGCTTGCCTTACCGGGAACAAGTTCATTAAATCCATTATGATGTCCATTAACTATTATACTAGGCATCCTGTCAGGTGATTTCGGAGATAAAATGTCTTGTTTCACGTTCATAAAAGCTTGGATCATACCGTTACTTTATAAAAAAAGTTGCATTAAAAAATGCTTAAAATGGTTGCTTACGAGGATAAATTCACTTGCATGGTAGTTTGGACTTTTATAGTAAAACCTCATGTTTATTTGCTTAAATTAATTTTAATTTGCCATAAACGAGACAAGAAAATGAGTTTCTAGATCACTCATACCGTCTCGTGTCTATTTCTAAATGTTTGATTACATGCACTCCATCAATCTTCTCTGTTTTTACCATGCATTAAAAACGTACCACTAATAGCGTTACGCCACAGAAGACATGGCCCACACGTGCTGATGGTCATCCATTCCATCCACCGGCTCACCTCCGAGCAGTAGGTAAGCACAGGGCGCGCGTGCAGACGCCTCTGGACGCTCGTGCATGATCCGTTGGTGTTCATGCAGCGGTGGCATTACAGGGATAGGATCCCCGGAGGGCTGGGAGTGGGAGCGGGACGGCTGCTGCCGACTGCCGGAGGGCTGGGCAGCGGCGGAGATCACAGATGGGGAGCAGAGGAAGCTGAGAAGGACGCCGGATACTCCCAGAGATTGAGAGAGATATGGACTGTGGTCTGTGGAGAATCGATCGGCTAAGGGGAATTATCTTGTGTATAGTTTCAATCGCCCTGATGGATCAATAGGAAGCGTAAAAACGTCCAAGAGGATTGGTGCAGCAGTTCGAAAGTCGATCTGGTCATTTCAGTTGAAACATTGGAATGCTTGCAATTGGCAATGTATATATTGTCCCCCTAGAAACTCAAAACTGGCGGCTGATTGATCGCGAGGTGTCCTCTCAGTCACTGCTGCGCCCACTGTCTGTTTGTTCTGACCACCCGCTCGGCTAAATTGGACAGAGATGTCGACGTCTGCCCCCGCCAAGACTCGAGAGAAGGCGCAATGCATCATTCCTTGGCACTTCAACGTGTCATTATTGAATTAATTGATTCGGCAGAAACAGCCCGTTTAACACGCGGAAGCGGGCCATAATGATGGTTTTCACAGAGTGGGCTGCGCCCACCTGCTTTCTCATCATCATATTTATTTTCTGCCGCACGTGAGTCTCTGCATGTTTTGCATACAAATCTCATTAGGCGACATGCAGGGGCAAAAGTCCAGCGTGCCATTCTACAGCCGTGCAACAGAGATGCCATTGCATCGCATATGACATATGATTATATGAGCGGCTCAACATCTATCCGGTACGGTTTAAAGGTGGGCGCAACTTTTGTGGGTTAAAGATAAGATGCATTCTTTGTTTCTTTCCACGCGTTCATGTTACGGGTGCAATATTCAAAATGAGGCCCAACGGTCCTCTTTGGATGCGGCCGATGCATGTTTCTATGCAGTTGGAGCATCTTCAACGACAAACAGCACAGACGGACCTCTGCACCCACTAAACTGTACGTCTGTCGTGCGTCGCTGCCGCCGCCGCCGCCGTCTCCGTTTCGTCGTTAATTTGACGCCTCGACGTTCCTTTCCGCGTGTGCCCGCCCGGCGCGGCATCCCTTTGAAGTTTCACTGAAGCATTTCGGCCTGGGCGGTCTTTTTACCAAAAGCTCGGAGCTGGCTGCGCTAAAGCTATAGCAGCCCGCTGAATTTATCATCAATTTTTCCCTCTGGGTCCATTTATAACGCGGCTGATCGCGCGTTTCTCTCGGCTTCAATTTAGCTTGCAGCTAAAAAGCGTATTATCAGACACTATGCATGAGTTATGTGAATAATGACCTGGGTTCTTTTGTCTCCAGGCTCACCGGATGCAAAACTACGGAAATTTATTAAATGGACGGATTATAAATGACTTTCAAGAATTAACGAGCCTTCAGACAACCTTTTGGTCGTGTTTGCTGGATTTAAGGGAGGAAATTTCCAAACAGCGGAGGCCATAAAGATTTTCCAAGAGTCCTGAACTTTCAACACACCAAAAGTTTAGTAAAACTTTAACGGACAAGCTGTGGTAGGCTAGCCTCAAGAGACTCGAGCCCACTTAATCGCAGGCTGGCAGAATAAGCTCTAAAGCACATTTATGAAAAGAGTCAACTACCTTGTCAATTCAGGAAAACTGTCTGGGCTGTGCTGCTTGGTTGCATTTGAGCCAGCAAATCAGATAAAAATTTATTGAACGCAGGCAATTTTCTATGAACCTGAGAAAGAAATGTGATCAACTATCTGCAAAAATGTGTCAGAATTGAAAATATTTTTCATTTGCACTTGTCGATGACGGCAATTGTCATCCCGTGCTTTTAGTACGATCCATTCTCAGCCTTAACCCATCAGAAGCAGGTGCTCAGCGAACTCGTGGGCTCTCGCCGTCGTGATGGCCATTTTACCCCACCCTAACGTGTCCACTTTACAAACGCAGACAACTAACTGCCCACTGGACTTACTCGCTACAAATTCAAATGGGGCCGCGCACTCTGCAGCCCACGGCAAGTAACGAGTGATATGCAAATGTGTGTCATTACGATTACATCTTTACGATCGGAGGTACATCCGGTGGCGGTTTACGATGGCTGAATGCGACTCCTGTGTCGGTAGTCGAGCTGCGCTGGCCTAGTCCGAGCGGAGGGGGAGGAAGGGGAGGGGAGGGCAAAATAGGAGGGGAGAGGCGCGATAGGAGGGAAAGGGCTTGATGGAAGAGGGAGTGCGATGAGGAAGGGCGTGAGGAAGAGGAACGGGACAACCTACCATTTGTTTATGGCTCAGGATCATAGAACTTCTTATCGGAAGATGAGACCTTGCCAACGAATGAATGACCGAAACAAACCATAAAAAGAATGAAACCTAGGTTAGTACGGCATAGGCATACCAATTTGAGCGTGCATGAATGAAGAGTTTGTGGTGCCAAAAGAAACGTCGTGGAGGAAGGTGAGAGCTCTGAGAGACTCGGAAGTTCTTTGTGACGGGTAGAGTGTCTATGGGAGAACCCTCGGGGGCAGCGCGAGGCTCTGATGAGGTATCAGGCTAACGAAGTAGACCCGGCACCGTCTGCCCTGCCGTTACTCATTAGCATATATGGCAAAGTGCATGCATGCACGGACCCATTTCCATATGTTTAAAAAGCGACGCTGGGGTGGGATGCGGCCCAGGCCGGGGTTGGAGTGCCATGTCCCAGGCTGCCACTGTGCCGTGAAATTTGGCTGACGAGGGGCACAGCTGACGCGCCGCCGCCGACGGACCAAAGGACCGAGGGACGCCGCGGCGTGTTGCCACAAAGTCGGTTCGTGTCGGCATGTTACACTGTTCGTCGATGTTTGGTGTTGTGTGCATGACCGGTGTCACCCAAGCGAGAGCCCTTCCAATTCTGCGGTCGGGTTCGGTGCAAGCGGTAAAAGCGATACAATGAGTCGGTGATAACACGAGCTACTTGGTTTCGGCCTTAGCGCTTTGCATACCTCGTTTAGCGCATCGTTGGTGGGAACAAGGAAATGCAGCCTAAATTCGAACACCAGGCCTTGACACGTTGAAGGGAAA